AAATGATCAAATCAAAGACTTTGCGACGTGTTATTACTCTACAATATGACTAACGTTATTCAAGTACCAGTTCGTGTTACACCAACTACTAATTGATCCTATGGCAAAAACAAACAACATCTATGTTTTTTGATTTGTGAATATCCGAAACGCCAAACGAAATAAGTTATCATTCCGGAACCTACATTTTTTAACAATATGAAAAAGAAACTGAAAAACATTCCAATTTAAGCAGCAATGGTTGTAACAGATCTGACTAAATATTTTACTTAAGATGGCTTTCATCAGACGACAGAACAAAAAATTAAAAAGCATTTAGATATATAAAGCAAAACATAACCTATAACACTTTCCAACTGCTTCTATTCGCTATGAAATAATGCTAAGCTTGCCTCACTTGAAAGAATAACATACATGTATGCTAAGTTTGTCATCCCATCCTATTAAGACCAAGTTGTGCCGCCATTTCATATCGAAGATGATTTGCTGTCTATCATAAAAGATAAATTTAGCAAACTGAATTCTGATCTATTTACGAATCACCTCACTATAGATATACTCACACATATCTTCACTTACGGGGCCCATATATAAGACCGAGTTGAGTGGCATTATTTCATGCAGTCAGTTTTTATATACGCCACTATATAGGCCTATAATGAACATTTCCATACAACAGAACTAAGGGGTACTAATTTATATATATAAACTATATATTTGATTTTACCATAGGTGAAAACATATTGACCAATAACATAAAACCCCATTAAAAATATATACATTTGTGGGACATATATCATTTACTACTAAAACCGGCCTACGGGCACTATGTTAGAAGGGTAGCCTACGCCCCCATACATCGTTTTAAACATGCCAGAGTTGCGAGGCCTTATGTATGCCCCACATTAAATATAAACCCCACAAGTATGGTCTCAAATAGACCGATGCCCCGTAAACGGAGGAATGTGACTGTATATATATATATATACAAACATATATATAAAAACTGACTGCATGAAATAATGCCACTCAACTCGGTCTTATATATGGGCCCCGTAAGTGAAGATATGTGTGAATATATATATATATATATATATATATATATATATATATATATATATATATATATATATATATATATATATATATATATATAAAGAAGTTCGATTCCTTGTGTGGATCTCATGTATAAAAAAGTATGTTTTACCTTTATGTTTTCCCTTTATAGAATATTTTTACCCTATGTATTTTTGTAGCAATTCAATATTTCTTATAGAGAGAGTAAAAGAATATTTCATTTGCAGCGCAACGTCGTATTTTTACGTTTCCCGCACTTTTATAACGTTACGTCATTATCATATTTGTTATGTTTATATTATACGTTACTGTCTGAAGATATGTGAAAACATTTGAAAGCGCTAACAGAAATAAACATATAAAAATTAACGAACTTTGTACTCTGCATTTCCCAAAACATACATATATATATAGGGTTAGGGTTAGGGTTTATATATATGTATGTATGTGTGTATATATAGGTTTCCATTATGACCATAATTATATAATATAACAAGAACAAAGAGGTTTACATAAAACGTTATTGGTTTACTTTAATTAACTATAACAAGTATTTTTTATTATTTTTGTTCAGTACAAACAAATGAATATTTTCTTAACAATTGATAGTTGGATTAGTTGATGGTTGTGTTGACATGCATCGTTTAGATAATGCATAAACGTTTTTTTTCTTATTTTCTTTTCTTTTATCTTCAATCTCTTTGCTCATCTTAAAAAATGAAAATGTATAGCTACTTATTTATTGTTTATTGACTTTAAGGTAAAAATATATTGACTTTATAAAACTGATGTTCAACATTTACAGGGTCCAACAACCAACCCTTATATAATATTGTGATACTTCGTTGACGTAAATGAATTGATGTATAACTATATGTTGTTATGTATGCAACATATTACATGTATATAGTTTATATCTGTCAAGTTGGTATTTCCAATATTTTTATTGTTCTACTTTTAGAACATATAACTACAAGTGTGTAAATAAGATTTAACAAGAAATTTCTTAACTTTTGTAGAAAATTATAGATTATGATTCATGCATATTTAGATAGAAACTTCCAGATTATTCTTTATTGTTGAAGTTCCTAAATTATGATTACTGTAGAACATGGAAGACTGATCTGAAATGTACTTAGCTTAATAAACATAAGGGGACTTTTTTATTTCTAATACCTTGTAAGTCTTCAGTTAACTTTTAAGTCATCAATACACTTGGAGTATTATTCAACTTGGATATTAAATTAATTTAGCGCCAGGTTTATTGGAGCTTGGATTTTTAAAATAGATTAAATTATTCTTGTGGATTTCATTGTGGAAATTTGTTCTATTTTCTTTGATTTAACTTGGATTTAACTGTGCTGTTCAAAAAGGGATCATTCCAGCATCAGACTAGACATTTGAGATTTATATTTTTATTTGGACTTCAGGTATTTGTAAACATAAATTATTCTTTAATTTTTCTTTAATTAATTTTCTGTAATAAATTTGTAAATGTTACAAGTTTGTTGCTGGCTTTTCTGTCGCTTCGCGCCTGACTCGTAACAATGTACAATAAAACATTATCAAACTGTGAAAAGAAATAGCGTATGCCAATGTTATGCAAGTATGAATATATGAACCGTGCGTTTGGATGGGTCGGTAATTCCTTTCCATCATATAACGCCTTTAGCATAAAACTCAACCAAAACACATTTCACATTTATAGATTTACGAAGTTCACAATCTTTTTTTCAACAAAACATTACAGTTTAAGGTACATTTACCGGTGTTACCTTGTTTCACCAAATATATCCCAAGTGAACATTTTTGTTTTTATCAATTCAAGCTAAATGAAGACCGTAATTATACTTCCAAATTTGTTTCAGTATCGAGTTCCTTCATTCCTCATTCCAATTTAAAGTAAAATAGCACTTTAACTTCACAGTCTAACAAACAATCCCTCTTAGTCTTTCACAATTAAAAGGCCCGCAAACTTACAAATGCTCGCGTTGGGTCTTAATCAAAAGTGTTGCCATGTCCTTATGATTTTTAAGCTGAATTAAAGTTACAAAATTGTATAGTAAACACAACATATTTTGAAACTACACATCAAATATTCTAGTTCAGTCATCATATGCAAGCAATGATAGCTATGAAAACCACATTACGATTACCTGTCAACTTTTGTTTTACAAATAGTCGCTGTCGCATTTTAACGTGACATTTAAATAAAATAATATATTTGCAAGATGTCAGACTTACGTTTTTGACGTCATGTTTGTGTATGACGATATTCATCTGTAAATAAGTCATAACGTTTAGTGTGTATGTGTTGAAATAGCTGAAAAAAAAACGATTTTTCATTGTTGTTTTGTTTTAAACGGGCCTTCAAGAAAGAATAATGATCAGGCGATTAAGAAAACGGCAATGTGCAAGTGGCGTGCCCGATTTCGAGACGGCAACCGGCAAGGGATCCATGAATGCGCGGTGGACTTCCCGATATTGTAACGTCAAATCACATCACGGTGATAAAGGAGATTCTCGACAATGATCGTCACATTACAATTCGCGCAATGCACGAACGAACGGCACAAAACATCGTTTTATACATGCGGATTTAAAAAAAAAACACATGGAATCGCTTTCACTTGAGAAGTTTAAAGTGTGAAAAAAGTTGTTTGTCTCCTCTGTTATCACTGTAAGATACTGAGTCATGCCGTAGCCCTGGGTTAGACGGTGACGGCGGAAAATTAGTGCAAGGTGAATATATTTATATTATATTTATACAAAATTGACTTTAAAGTCAATATTTTTCCTATAAATTATCAATATTTGTGTAAGTGACTATAACTATAAATCATTACAACACTTTACTTATACAATGTAATTGCATTCTTTTATGCTGTAAATTTCTGAGTCTCAACGCACGGCGAAAACACCGGACACAACCAAAAACCCCGAATGCAATAACACATAATTAAGAAAATAAATAACGGGCGTCTTTCATCAAATTAGCCATATCCTTGTTGAATGGTTTGTAAAAAGAATAAAGCAAAGTACGTGTTGCATTATTCATAGACCAAACATGTTTGATACGTGACACATTTTGTTGGGGTGATCTAAGCATAATCTTCATTTTTCTTTGGTCAACGTTACCTGCAGTAAGGAGAAAATAGTGTTATATATGTGTAGTATTACATCTATTGGTTATATAGATGACTTGATAAATTTTCTCCGGTGACACGTCAGATTGAAGTATTTAAAATGTTGATATTATTTCTTATATAGTTTTAAAACTATAAACAATACACATTTGATTTTAAAACACCATTTAAGTTGTTTCCATACGGTGATCTATTTTGTCCACAAAATCTCCCTAGTAACACTTAATAATAATAATCGCCTCAAAAGGGCGAAATTTAGTTCCTTAATTTCGCCCGTCTCTCGAGCGCCTTTTCTTAAGAACAGGGAAACATATACTTGCGACCTTGGAACAGTTCGCTCTGCTCGATAATCATAATATTAATCTTCGTATGATTTGTGTTCTTCATGCAATAAATATCTCTTTGATGGACTCCAATTATCGCATACAGCGAATTAAAACATGCTAAAATAATCGCCTCTAAAGAGCGAAATTAAGACCAAATATCGCAGGCATAAATTATGCTAGTCTCTCAGCAATAAACGCATTTCAACGCAATAATTATCGCGCGAGGAACAAATAACATACTAACATTAAGAAGAGTTATAATGAGTTGAAATTGTCAGATATAAGTGTCCCTGGTATATAGAAAAGGCGACAATTACCGCTTTGGACATGCGACATTTAGTACTAACTTTCTCCCTTTTGGTTATCGTGTGTTAATGAAATTTTATTGACTAAATAGTGCTGTCGTTTAAAAAAAAACAAAAAAAAAACATGAACAATTAAAAATAATTACTCTCGAAGAAAAATATCTTACTAATTTCAAGAAAGTTCAAAACATTGCGGATGTTTTTTTCCATGTTTGTTACGTAATCATTATAAAGTAAGGCTTTGATCTGACTAAGTCCAAAAACATCAATCATATCTTTCATATAAATGGCATAAAATCCAGCTGTAAAACCGACAGCAACCTCTAAATGCCTCTGAAAAAGATAAGCGATATTCAAAGCTTTAAACTCAATGAAATGAAAATAAATCACCAACTCAGGTGATTATTTCAAAATTATAAAAGTAGCCTTACTTGCAAAGTAATCATATCGAAACATATGTATGTGCTTTTATGCATAAAAACAAACAGACTCATTCAATAAGCATAAATTGTTTGATTTAATAGAAATAAAAGGTGTTTGACTTATCGTAATGCACGCTCAGATTTAATATAATACTGAATTTCTTACTGATAGCAGTTGTTGACTTAAAGTATTGTTGTAAACGCAGCTCCTTTTTGTATATCTTTGGAGACAATCTTCGTAAGCATTTATCACAATTTTGACTTGATCATGGAATATTTCTGGAGACCTGGACTTATATTTGCCTCTTGTAACATGAATAAAATCTGAATACAGCCTAAGAGAAAAGAATAACATATGCATAGAAGTGTCTTTAAACACAGTATCTAAGCAATCATACAAGAGCAAAACATTGACCTTACCCATTTACAAAAAAAATCAATGCTTGCCGTACATATAAATGGGCATTTCTAAGTTGACAAAATATATATAGAATAAAAATTTAAAAAAGAACGAAATTAAAAAAAAATACAATGCATTTTAATAGGAATCGGTATTGGTTTTAGTTTCATTATAAGTATAAAATCATCGTCCAAGAATAGGTGTGTAATGGAATCATGGGATTAAATTGCTCTGGTACTCAAATAAGTGAATTGCAGTACTGTAATTATCAATACATTATTAAGAATGTCATGAATAACAAATGTTAATGATTTTTGAAAACAGCAGAAAACAAACGTAACTTAGTCATATAGTTTAACATTAACTAAGATGAGGTGGATCGGCGTTTTATAAATAAAGAAACACATTAATTAAACTTGTTGAAACTCAGTTTATTTTGGATTTATGTATTCAATGATTATCTAATCACTTCAAAAGAAGTATGATATTATGATTTGTATAATGCTAAAACACTCACACTGTTACACTCACCTTGAATGATTATTTTATTATTAGATTTTCATTTCATCTGTATAAACTTGATGTAATTTATATATATATATATAAAGGTTTTTTTTATATATTTAGATATATGTATGACATGTTATATTAAAAAAGGTAAACTTTATTGTCAAGAAAGTAGGACATAATTATTATTTTATAATCATTTAAAATTCTCCAAATGAACTTCAATATGTCTGCATTTCAGCACCCTTCGTCAAAATTAAGATACATTAATGAATTATTTTTGGTTTGGAAAAAAAGATTAATTGCCTATGCCGAATTTAAAGTTGACGCATGTAGTAACTGATAAGTTGTTATCTGTAATGTGCAAGTGTGTGGCTGAACAACTCCATTTTGTGTTCACCAACCAACCACATGTCTTAAAAGTGAAATTGCAGAGGCATGTATGTGCATCGCTTTAATATTCAACTGAAAATGAATCACACTATAACAATATATATATATATATATATATATATATATATATATATATATATATATATATATATATATATATATATTTATATAATATATATATATATATATATATATATATATATATATATATATATATATATATCTATATATATATATATATATATATATATATATAAACCTTTCAACAGGATCCCTAAAAATGATTATCAGTTTAGCATTTGGTGTCAACTGTTTTATGAAATGAAAGTTGGTGTAACGTGGCTCGTCTAAATATTCGTTGCCTTCTAAATGATCCCAACCAGTATGCATATAATATGTCCCGGTACTTCCATCAACTGAATAAAAAACCAACAAATAAAACAAACAAACAAACAAAAACAAAAAAAAATTAAAACAAAGTTTTGTCTATCGATAGTTATTTGAAGGCTATATCTTAAAAATATCAAAGACACAATGAATGCAATCCGCAACTATCCAAGATAATACAAGTAACATAGGGGCCGGTTTAGGGACACTCACTACACATGCAACCAAAACTATAATTCAGTTTTCAAGTGAGACCTAATTTAAAGGTTAATTTATTTGCCTTACTATCATAATGTCAGTACTAAATATATTGTCAAGTGCAGTATAACATTTAATTAAAATCTATTCAAGAGGGATATCTTTATTCTGTATAAGAAACAACATTTAATCTTTATTAAAATTTGACCAAACTTTCATCCATATTTCTTGTTCTTATTAGACCTAAAATTATAACTCTTTTATTTTATCCAATTTTGACATAATGATTACGGATTTTTTATATGAATTTGCTAGTACAAAATATATATTTTATTTAATCTAATCGTCAGGGGCGTAGACTTCAAACCACTTACCCCTCAGAGCTGTGGGTGCGTATAGCGACATGGTCTTTGTATTATTTGATATGACAAAGCTATCTAACGTCGGTGGTTCTACTCAGGTGTCAGTTTGTTGAAATAAGGCACGGATGGGTACCTTAGCTCTTTATCCACCAGTAACGCTTGAACGACGCTAAACGACCTCTACTGTGTTGGTGTTACGTAAAACCCAATCAAACAAACCAACAAAGTTTGCAAACGAAATTATTATCTATAATTTTAATCAACACGAATCAACATTCCTAAATAACGGCCTTTGTCATTGTCATAATACACGTATAATATAATAATCTTACTAAAAATGCTTTACATTAATTATATAATACACACCGCTTGATAATGTATCGTCGTATATACTTAAAAATAAACAACAATGGAATGCGTAATGGCATTCAAATAATTATAATCCAAACTGACCGCGCGCATGCACAGTGAGTGGTACTTAACCGGCCTCATGTTGTTAATACATATATGGCATACTACTATTGAGACCGCCTCCGTGGTCGAGGGGTTAGAGTCGATGATTTCTAATCTAGTTAACTCTCTGGCGTGGGTTCGATCCACGGGAGATCCTTTGGTAGTTTAGCGCGGAGGAAGGTAGTCTAGTACTGGTATAACTCTCCACGAACGATAGTTAGGAAACTACCCGCCTATATGACTGAAATACTGTTGGAAAAAGGCGTAAAATGAAACAAACAAACAAACAAAACTGTCAGATGTACACAAATGCAATTCGCAAATATTCGCATCTATTTGCAATACATTACGACAAAACGTAAAATACAACCGTCAAATGTAAAATTAAATACAAAAAGATTTATTAGATAAAAAAAACATTGCATGCTTTTCAGTGGACGGTGAAATATATTATTTGATAATGTTGATTTAATGACATTACGAATACAATTGCATGACCTTACGCGGCACAGTTCATTAGGACTAATTGAAAACCGCCTAAAAGCATGAACTAATAGTTTCTTTGTTTTCAATGAAAAATTGGATATAAAAATGGTTGTCATTTTTATCTAGACTTAGCTCATTGTCCGTACTTGCAGTTAATATAGCGATCGTTAAATTTACACCAACTTGTACATTTAATGTTAAGCAACACAAACTTATTAAGGAAAGAAACATAAACAAATCATTTGAAATATATATTTTTATAATCCTAATATGTAGTTATGGAACGCTATCCCTTAAGAATTCAGAAATTCTACAGATTTTCAAAGCTGCATGCCTCCAGATGAGCCAAAATAGTTCACGAAAATCAATATTGAGAAAAAAATGTACTAACATTTTAAGAAAGGTCAAGATATTCAAGATCAAGGTTAATTTTTACACGTATTGTGTAGTTTTAGACTGATTGGGCAGTATTTTATCACCGTATTTATATTGTGTCACTAATGTAGTAGAGGATGTTTTTGCATATGATGACCACTTTTTGGTATTTTGCTTGGATTGTAAGTGCCAAATGCAATAAGTTAATTATTACATTACTGTAACACAATATTTAACTTATAAATATATTTCCAAAATTTTAATGAAAATAAACATGAATCTGAAGGCGTACTACTGTTTAATTAAATTTTAAACTATAATATATATATATTTATTTAACAGATAAATTGAAAAAAATACAAACATGTAATAATTATTATGGGTGTCTCCTTTGTAAAATAAAATGTACTAAATGTTGAACTTTGTATAATTAAGGGTGATATCTCTGTTTTATTAAGGTTTAAGTTAGTTTAATTATTATCCATCAATCTAATGTTTATTTGTCCAATGGCGGACAGGTACCACTAACCTTCTGTGTAATAGCTGGGATTGGTTTATATGTAGTTTCGTTTTATACTCATAAACATGATACTACGTTCATCATCGTATTATATGTTATACCTGTTATTTTCCTATGCAATGATGAATTGTCCTTTGATATACAGGCTGCCGCAGGGTCGAACATTGATACATAAAAGTCTACATTTGTAGGTTCAATTCCCTTTTTGACAATATCTAAAACGATACATTGAATTAAGTAAAACGCAAACCAAAATAACAATCCAAATTACTTTACACACAGGCGGTTTACAAAAATGTGTCCATTATTTCTGATCTGACGTGTTTGTCAACATATTAGAATAATAATCTTAATAAAGTTATATGTGTTCCCTTTCGCACCAAACAATTAATTGCTGTGCCTTTTACTCTAACAATGGTCATTCATAAAAAAAAAAATAGTGTACAACTGTAAGCTAGACTGCAATTAAGAGAATTGAAGGTAGCACATGATTATAATTTTATATTTCTAAATATGTTACAGATAGTATAGATATGCACGAGCGTAATAAACATAGTTACAGTTTTTTTGTGAATTGAACTAAATTATCAAGTCGTAAACATATATAAGTAGTAAAATGTAAGTCATAATATATACATATATAAGAAATGATTAAACAAGAATATATTTACGGAGCTTTTCTTCTGGGCAATAAACAGAACTACACGTAACAAATATTTACTTGTCATATGAAAATAGTTCATTGAAAGCTTAGCTTATTACGTTGTATTGGATAAAAGCTTCGGTTTGGACACAGGCCATTAACTTTCATCTTAACAACGATACTGAATCTAATATCGGTGTTATTATACCTGTTTTAATAATATCAATAATTTATTTTAACACGTGTAACAATGTTATTCTCTTGTATTAACGTTAAACATACTCTGTTCAATAACTCTCATTTTACGCACATAATTCGGCGCACCAAATCGTTGATTTGATATCCACTGGCACTCTTTTGTAAATGAAGGCAGACATATACCTGGATGTCTGGAAATTCTGCTGAACAAATCTGAAGTAGCACTCTTCCTTACGCCTTAAGTGAAGTATTAAAATGTTAAGGTAAAATAGTCAGAAGACAAGAAGTAGACATTATTTCGGAAAACAAATTTTGAATTATACAGTTATACCATGTTTTACAAAAAATGTTTATTATATTGTTCATGCTAACTTTCATGTCATTATGTAAACAAGAGCATATTATTAATGTACTCAATATATGTGATCATCCTTTGACGTTTGGTAGTTGTAAATTTTTAAACGATATTAAGATCATTTGATATCGACCTTTGACCTTGTGACCCCATGACGTTTGAACTTGTGTTTTGCTCAGGAAAGCACAATTTTCAGTGTTAAGGTCATTGTAACCCTGAACTTTAATCATAAAAATCAATAGGGGTCATGTATTGGACATAACTGTTCATCCTATAATATTTTACAGCTGTGGGTTTTTAATACTTTAGTTATTGAGCAAAAACCGTTTTCATGTTTAAGGTAATAACGACGATGACCTTGCGACCCAAAAATTGAAAGGGTATTCTACGTAATATTGACACTCATCCTAAGAAGTTTGAACACTGTCGGCCAAACGAAACTGAATTTATGCTCCAGACACCACCATTTTTAGTGTAAAGATCATTCTGATCCTGCCTTTTGACCTTATGACCAAAAAAATCAATAGGGGTATTCTACCTAATATTGACAATTATCCTATGGAGTTTGAATATTGTGGGCCGAATCAAACTGAAGTTATGCTCCGAAAACTATTTGTTTGAGGTAATAGTGACCTTGACCTTTGACCTTGTGACCCAAAAATCGATATGGATCTTCTACCCTATATAACAAATCGTCCTATGTAGTTTTTATTGCGGGCCAAAGAGAACTTAAGTTATTTTCCGGAAAGAGTTTTCAGTTTTAAGGTAAAAGTTACCTTTACCTTTGACATGTGACCTTAAAATCAACAGCGGTCTTCTACCTAATATGGACAATTACCTTATGAAGTTTGAATACGTATTGTGGGCCAACTGTAACTTAACTTATGGTCCGGAAACAGATTTCAGTTTTAAGCTAATAGTGACCATGACCTTTGACTTTGTGTCCCCAAAATCGATATTGGTATTCTACCTAATATGGACAATCATCCCATGAAGTTTGAATATTATTTGCCGAAGTAAACTAAACTTGCTAACGGACGGAAAGACGGACAACGCCAGAAAAAAATATGCCCGAAATTGTTTCGGACATATAAAAATGTATATTCCGAAAATGCATAGACATATAAATAAGATACATATTAAAAGTTCATTACAAATAAAAAGGATACACAAATCTAATGACGTGTATTTTTGGAATTTTGTTATAAAAGTATCGGCTAATAATATATGTGCAGAATAACATGTCCTTTACTTACTCAATTCAAGAATAATCATCATTATTGTAAAAACTCGCTAAATGACAAAGAAAATACATTTTTTTACTTAAATGTTTCACTCAAGTTTAGTTAAGAGTTTAGTTGAATTTTTATCCAATTATTTATATTTCATTATTTGTACACATTTCTGCGTCTGTGTCTAAATCAAACTCTACATATTTAGGTTACTGAATTTTATGTTTTGAAGATTTTGATCTTATCGTACTTTCCTCAATCCAATATATTATACACATCAAACGATTAAATTTTACGATAAATTTAATGGTGTATCTTTTTTGTTTGTTTTGTTTGTTGAATGTGAAAACACATCTATGAAAATGTGTTTACATACAAACTTATTACCATCACAACTCTACGACGTTTTCAATATTTTGATTTTAAATAAACTGGAATACAAGTCTCACCTACCTTAAACAGATAATAAATAAACAGTTAATTTCATGGTAAGTCCTTTTTCATAATATGCTTGCAATTTATAGATTGTTAGTTGTATGATTTGAATTAATCATTTCATGTTACTAGTCGGTATTAAACAAATAGTAATATTACACACATTAGAATGTATACACATGCATTTGTCGGACTAATCCTGATAATATCTATAATCTTTTTTTTTTTTTAAATTATTAATGTTCGTTCACCATGCACTGCTTTAAAACATTGTTTACCTATCTAAAATTTTAAAACATATCTATAACGAAAGATAAAATGAAAAAAAAAGCATATAACTTACCAATAAGATACGCATAAGGCAAGCAGTGCACATTCCCGTCATTCAGCAGTCCATCGTGAGCTTTCCAACAAGGATTTTTAAAGTTTGGAAGAAATTGTATTGGTTTCTAAATAGAGTAATACCTTTGATGAACAGGCGACGTATATTTTGTTATTTAAACAGTTGTAATATGCCAATGATTATAACATACATTAAATGTACTTATTTAAAATTAGTGTTTGTGTGAAATATATGCATTTACTAATAAACATCAAATATTGTTCCATATTTAAGCACTTTTGAAATGATATAATGATATACTTACATTCTCATTATTGGAAACACGTGTATTTAGAGGTTTTGAAATAAACGTATTGTTTGAAAACCACACCCAGTTAATATTTGCTGCATCAGCCGAGTCTTTGCTTAAATTAGACGCTAAATTCCCTTTCAAAGGTCCATTTTTTAAAAAAAGTCCTTCACTACGTGTGTTTGTTCGCTGAATTGATTTGTAGATGTATATAACTACCGGGATATTTACAATTGCTATAATGAGTAATAAACGTTTATCTTTACCGCAATTAACAAACATTTTCAGTTCTTAACGATTAAATTAATCACGATTATAATTAACACAAAACAAACACGTTTGCTATAATATATATTAATTTCAGCTACAGTTCTTAATAAATCCAATGTGAAATTAGAGATTACTTGTTTTCTATCAAGATGAAGCAACTGATGCCATATAAGCTCTTCCTACTTTGCTGTATATACGAATTGAACATAATCAATGATGCACGGTAACAGTCCGTAATTTTGTTGCGAATGGTTGCATAATGGTATAGATATAGTATGTTAGTAAGGTGAATCAAATGTTTTCATTTTCTTATATTCATAAAGTATCAGCTTTATTACTATATTTCTTTTATTATAGACACAGCGTTTTAGCAGATACACTATTTTAAAATTAATGCATTTTTAAGGGTACACTTGGCACATACTTTTGTATGATTTTTCATTGTATTGTAATAATATATTTCGAGTCGTTTTTTTTATATTGAAATTGCACTCTACATTACTGCGGCTTGCCGATTTCCGTCCTTTTTTGTTTTTCTTTGTATAATTTCCCACTGCATTTTTGGCTTTCATATATGGTATATATTAGTCTAAATTTATAATTGTATAGGTTACTGCTTTCAAAAATCTTCCGATACTAATATTTTTATTCATGTTTTCAATAGTGTTACTTTTTAAAGCAGATGAAGTATTTTATTTCCATAATGAACAAATTTCTTTGCTTATTGTTTTAAAAATAAAAAAAAATTGATTTTATGACCTAAATTTTCTTCCACCTTTTGTTTCTAAAGATATTCTTCAAGTTTCGTGAAAAGTTGTAATGAATAAGATAAAATTTTGAAGTCAGGGAAGATCACTTTCTTAAGGTAAATACGTTTTGTAATGAATGTATATTAGTAAATTCCCCTTTTTTAACCACATAAAATTGATTATTTGCGTAATTATAATTCAATTGGACATATAAATGGATTTTCTGGATAATTGTTAACAAATCGATAGATTTAACGCCTGAATTCTAGAAAATTTAACTCCAAAACTAAAGTAAATTCATTTTTTCTCTTCAATAATTTGATCTGTTATGTGTGCCCATGTATTTATTGATAACAAATTAATACATGCATCACTTTACCTAGTAAAAGTGTTACGAGCCAGGCGTAACGAGAAAGAAAAGCCAGCAACAATCTTGTAACAATCACAAATTCATTACAGAAAAATTATTAAAAAAAATGAAAATAACAAATTATGTGTACAAATACCTGAAGTCCAAATAAAAATATTAAATTCAAATGTCAAGCCTGATCCTGGAATGATCCCTTTTTGAATAGCACAGTTAAAACTAAGTTAAATCCAAGAACACTTTAGAATAAATTCCCACAATAAAATCCACAAGAATAATTTATTTTTTTTTTTTAAATAATCTAAGCTCCAATAAATCACGTAATATCCAAGTTGAAAAATACTCCAAATATATTGATGACTTATAAGGTAACTGATGACCTAAAAGATACCCAAATGAAAAATATCCCGTATTATATATATAAACTAGGAACATTCCAGAAAAGTATATTATGGTCTATCATAATTTAGCAACTTCAACAATAAAGATCATTCCGGAAATTTCTATCTTAATATAATGCATGAGTTTTCTACAACAGTTAAGAAAGTTCTAGTACATACATGTAGTTTATGTTCTAAAAATAGAACAATGATAATATTGGAAATATCAACTGGTCAGATATAGATAATATACATGCGATATGTTGTATACATAACAAAAGGCATTGCATGGTCATATATATTTTGTCGTGTCTTATACGAATGTAGCACGAGAACGCTCAAATGTTATCGTTACACTGAACGATAAGATGAAAATACTCAACCTTAACCTAAGTATATAATTTTTATATATAATTGTCAAATGTTCTACAAAAACAATGATTTTGTTTATGGCTATAACACTTTATGGTATCGATGAAAGTACTAATATCATAAGGTAAGTCCATATAGAATAATATTCATAAGGTATTTTGCAACATTATTCAAATTCAAAATCCGGTGTGGTACACTTGTACGAGTAATATATTCGGCTTCGTATTTTAATTGAAGAAAATATTATGCAAAAATCATTATCATTAATAAAATAAAAGTATTTGTATTAATAAATATATGAATCCTTGTATAGGAGCAGTAGTCCAGTGGTAGGACGCGCGCTTATGGATCGAGAGGTCCCGGGTTCGAACCCTACCAGGGGCACTGCTAATTTCCTTGAGCAAGAAATTTACCTGCGAATTGCTTCACTTCACCTAGGTGTAAATAGGTACCTGTGAGGGTGGTATAATTCCGTTGCGCCAAAGTGTCGGCTGCACTAAGCGGAGTCAAAAGACTCCCCAGGGAGATTGAAAGATAGATACCAAAAGCCCGATGACCAGGGGTAATAGCTGTAAAGTCGGTGAACGTGCGTAAGCATGAAACTTAGACTATAAAATGCAATTACTTTTTTACTTTTTATATATCCCTGTGCTTTACAATTACTGTTTTCATTTTATGAAAAAAATCCTTCGACTTTTCACGTCTTTGCTACATTGAAACAAGTAGCTATACAATGATTTAATGAAATTTGCTTTCTTTAGAAAGCTGAATTCAACTTTACAAGTTTCAAAACTTAAAAATAATACCAATTCTTAAATACTTAAATGTTGCTTTTAATATACTGTTTTTAAGTATAATGTTATCTTCGATATGTATATGACACAAAGTCGAATTGAGAAAACAATAAGTTTGTACGTTTCATTCAATGTAAGATGAATAATAATTATGCATAACAAGATGTTATCTGATGAAATTATATTTCATTTCACCACTGAAAAAAATATCATTTACTTCGAACACTTATTATGCACTGTTCACAATTAAGGTAATATAACAAGATAAGTCTTTACATAATAATTTCATCAAGTATTTTGCAAAATTAATAAAATCTGATGTGGCTATATACTTCTACTAGTAAAATTTGACGTTGTTCCTGCCTTTATTGAAGAAAAGATTATACAAAGTTCATTGCAATTTAAAATATATCAAAACATTTACATGCATAACTACATATATTGCAGGATAATCTCCCTGTACTATGCTCAATGATTTTATCAACTTTGATTCATGTTAAAGTGACCCTAACTCGTAAAACATTTTATAATTCGACTTTTTGTCTTTTTTTTGTCTGAAGAAATATAACAGTTAGGAATTTCTTTGTGTATCAAGTACAGAATATAATATTTCTTCAATATACGATGATTTCATATCTGGAATTATTGAAATCATTTGAAGAACTTAGATATATCTATCATATAATAAGTATAGAAAACAAGTTAATTAGTTGTCTTTCATTTATTAAACTGTAGCTTTTATACTTTCAGCGCTGTGTTTTATTCAAACCCATGGATATATGTACGAGCAATAACTAATGTTAACCTGTAATTTATTCAAACACCGTCTCTATTATCATCGGCATATAGTCGAATTGAGAAGACGATATATTTATGTATTCAATCTAATGTAAGATGAATACACGTTTGATAGAATTAAACTTCATTGAAATTCTACTTTCATTTTAGCATTATTGTTGGACACAGTAATAATTACAATTTTCTTCACATACTGATTATGCAAAGTTTAAACTGCAAGATAGGACAACATAATGTTTGTATATGCTAAAATGTGCGGTTCTAAACATGCCATTAAATTGGCAAGTTATATGCGCTAAAAGTTTTGCCAGATTCTCTTTTGCGAATGCCCGAATCATTGATGTTATCAACATCATCTCATGTTTAAGTGGCAGTTATTGGTAAAACATTTTAAAATTTGACTTTTTGTCTGAACAAATAAAACAGTTAGGATGTTTTATGTGACAATTATAGAAAATTATCTTCTTCAATACACGATTGTTTCATTTCTTGAATTATTGAAAATATCCTGAAAAACAAAAGATATATTTCATACAACATGTACTGAGAAAAGCAAGTGAAAATAGTGGTCTTTGTTTTACATATAAGCGTGCGCTTTTGTTTGATTAGAAAACTTGTATAAGTGTACGTGTATAAAATGAATTGTTTATTCTTTTGTGAAACTGAAACAATTTAAAACAAGGAATTGCGACAAGTTCTTATTTTTATCATTGTTTCTAACACTGTCTTCATTATTTAATCATCGACATATATACGACAAAAAGTCGAATTGAGAAAACGATAAGCTTACATATTTTATCCATTCTAGAACAGGCACCGGGAAATCTTTGCACCACCGGGATAGTGGCAAACTTCACTACCATTTATACTTGCCCTAAACACTTAAAAATAATTTCATCCGATAGATTTAATGTTAATTATTAATAATTTACTTCATTTTTAATTCTTTTCTTATCAAAAATTGTATTAAAAAAAAAAATTGTACGGGCGGAATTTCATGTATTCCTCCCGGAATTATGCTGTCCGGGCGGAATTATTTAAATTCCAATTGGAATTTTTCCAACATTATTATTTATTCCAACGGGAATTTCAAT